TGGCGACGGGGCCGCGAAAGGCGGCGACGGGGCCGCAAAGGGGCCGCGAGGGGCCGGGAAGGGCGGCGACGGGGCCGCGAAGGGGCCGCGAGGGGCCGTGAAGGGCGGTGACGGGGCCACAAAGGGGCCGCGAAGGGGCCGCGAGGGGCCGTGAGAGGGGCCGCTAAGAGGGCGCGACGGGCCACTAAGGGCAGGGGACGCGACGGGAGGGCGGCACACGGGGCGCGCCTCGGGCAGGGGCAACGCGCGCTCCGGGCAGGAAAAAAAAAATTCGATCTTGGTGGGCCCTAGGAAAAGTTCCCACTAGGGAACCTGCTCTATACCATGAGAAGAAACGAGGAATGGAATGACTAAGTGAAATGTGGGTACAAGTAGGAAACCTAGAAATGTTGTACCCTATAGTATCTACCCCACTACAGCCTAGATAGACTATAGCATATAAACTTGACACGTGGGTGGGGGATGATACCCCTGGGCTGGACGCACGTCGCCTCGTGCGTCTTGTCGGCCGGACCAGTTCCTCGGATTGGTCTGGCGGGGGCGAGATCGGGACTTGCATCGATCGGCCAAGTGCCCAAAGTTTCTGCAGATTTTGCAGTAGAGGCGCCGCAGTCTTCGCTCTTCGTTGTTGTCGGCGTAGAAGACAAGCCGTTCTCGTTCTCGTCGTGGCGCTGGTCGCTGCTGATCCATATCCCGTTGTTCGACGAGAAGGGCGGCGCAAAGGGCGGCCTCCGAGATGACCCCCTGCTGTCGGAGAAGCGCCTTGCAGGGCCGCCACTCTGGGCCAAGCCCTTGGAGCACGATGTTCACGAAGATCTCCTCAGATATTGTGCTCCCAAGTTTCGCGATCTGATCGCGTAAGCTCCGACAGCGATTCAGGTAACTGTTGGCCTTCTCTCCTGGTGCCATCTTTGTCTCCAGTAACTGCTGGAGCAGGCGGCTCGACGACACTGAATCCTTTGGTTGATACACACCGTTCAGGTGACGCCAGGCGTTCAGGGCTGGATCAAACGAGGTTTTGTATGAGCGAATGCTCAACTGCTCCGTCGGCGACATATTCCGCAAAAGAACCCCGTACGCCATCAGGGATTCGTTGTAGTACTGGGTTCATGCGTCATCAGTGTCCTCCGTAGGTCCCGAGTAGCTCCCGTCGAAGTAGTGAAAAATCTGGGCGTTTTGAAGCAGCAGCTCCAGCTCGAAGCTCCAAGTATAGAAGTCTCTGCCGTCAAAGCACACACTTGTCTTTATTTTTGATATGCTCAGAAACCTTGATTGTGCAGAGAGAATTGCTTCATCGCTGGGACAGGGAGTCTTGGGAGTTGAGCCATTTGTGTCTAGGGAAAAGCCTTGCCGGGCGGAGTTTTGGCCGTTGGAGGCCGGTTGAGTGGGTTGGGATGAAGTTCCCGCGTCGCCATTCCGCAATGTTTGGAGACCTTGCTCCAAGCTCGTGAGTCGCTGAAGTAGTTGTGCGAGGACGGCGGAAGGGATCGTCGTCGTTTCCTCGCCTGTCGCAGTCAGGTTGGGCTGCGCTTCAGCCGTCAGATTCGTCTGACCTCCAGATCCTCCGGCCATTCTTACACGTGATCGTGTGCCGGACGCCACTTTCCGAACATCACAATTTTGTGAGAATAGTAGCTATAGTGAGGAGCCACAGCTAGGTAAGTCCTAGGTAGGCAAGTGTAAGTTTAGGCAAAGAGGAGTTTCACTAGCAGCAATGGGGATACATATAGCAAACCCTAGTTGGGTTGTACCCGCTACAGATCACCCCACTACAGGCTAGATAATAACATTCTGACACACCCCCATAGCCAAAGTGGGGTGTAATCAGTACAATGAGCAAGCAGGCATAGAGCAGGAGTTCACAATAGTAAGCAAAGGTAGAGTTAGTCACAGCGGGCAAGTGAGGAGGAGGAGGAACTGTGGAGGGAGAGAAGATGGGAGGCAACGACTGAAGCTGCAGAGGCACGGGCACAGGAGCGGCTGACTCAGTGGCTACCGAAGCAAGGGCGACGGACTACTGGAGTGACTGGCTCCGCGGCTATAGACGAGCGGCAGGAGCAACGGACCCACTGGCGACTGGTGCGACAGGCTCACTGGCTACCGAAGCAAGGGCGACGGACTACAGGCGCTGTAGGCAACACGACAGCTACCTTCACACAACCTCCTCCAACTGCCCCACACCCTCGACACACACCCCCTGGTCAAACCCTAGCTCCACTCCCACGGCACCCCCCTGAAACCCTAAACCCCAGGCTCCCACACATCCACCCCCCTCAGCGACAGCTGAAGCAGTGGGAGACGAAGGAGGCGGAGGAGTAGGGGACGGCGAACACAATCGACACCCCCACAACCGCCACCCCCACACTCCTCACCCCCAAACCCTAAAACGGGTGGGATAGAGGCAGGAGCGCGGGGGACTGCGAGGGGGGACGGCTCGCGACCCCCAGGGCGCCAAAACGGACGGGCGGGACTGGGGGAGAGAGGTGGCGCGCGCGGCTCCCCAGGGCGCCGCGACGGACAGGCGGGGCGCGCGCGGGCTCCCCAGGGCGCCGCGACGAACAGGCGGGGGCCGCGCGTGCTCCCCAGGGCGCCGCGACGAACAGGGTGGGGGCCGCGCGTGCTCCCCAGGGCGCCGCGACGGACGGGCGGGGCGCTCGCGGGCTCCCCAGGGCGCCGCGACGAACAGGCGGGGCGCGCGCGGGCTCCTCTACGGTAGGAAACCGCCGCGCGCCTCGGGGCGCGCGGCAGGCAGAAGGCGCGCGGCGGGATGAAAAATTGAAGGTCGCGCGCCACGGGGCGCGCGACACAGAGTAGGGCAGCGGAAGCATGTGGGCCCACAGACCAGGAGCGTAAGCGCTCTGATTCCATGTGAGAATAGTAGCTATAGTGAGGAGCCACAGCTAGGTAAGTCCTAGGTAGGCAAGTGTAAGTTTAGGCAAAGAGGAGTTTCACTAGCAGCAATGGGGATACATATAGCAAACCCTAGTTGGGTTGTACCCGCTACAGAGCACCCCACTACAGGCTAGATAATAACATTCTGACAAATTTTCGAGAGTGGTAGTGCGAAAGATTCCCGAGTCGCTCTCATACCATGTTGCGATCAAAAGATGATCGTTGCCATGATCACCTCAGGAAGGTTCGCACACTTTAGTCTAGTGGTGGTGGGCCCGTGACCTCAATAGCAAAGTGAATGTAAAATGCTTGAGATAATAAAAACATGCAAATACAACGATATAAATATGAGTACAAGGGAATCTGAATCGTCCTAGCTAGCCATGTACTCTAAGGGGTACATTCCTTTATTCGAATTCAACCGTCCGGCAATACAGTTGCAAAACTGTTCCCGCCAAGATCCTCCTGCATGCAGCCGCCCGATGTCGTCTCCTCCGACGGTCCGGATGCATCAACTGTCTGTCGTTTCGAGTCAACTCTGACTCTTCACATTCGTTCTCGATACTGCATGCTTCTTTAGCTGCGGTCGGGAGTGCATTGTAATCTTCATTTGTTGCTATTCGTAACAATTTCCTGCGGTGCAGAGATGCGTGGTCCGAAAGGAAAGTGGATCTGATAACCAAGTGTTACGGGTGCAATGGATCAAGGTAGCCAGGATTGCACTAAGGTGTCAAACGAGTACAAAGTATGAGCGAAGGCATGAGCGATTACTTATAGGCGAAACATGCAAATGGTAACGCGGTGCGTGCGAGCTAGCTAGTGCTACGCTGGCGCAAGGTTCGGGCTAGTCCCGAAGCGTAGGCCGACTCTGCTACTCCAGCAGTGCGAGGTTTGGTGAAACAGTGCGCGCGAGGTTGGCGAAGCCCCGTTAGCAGTAACGGGCGAACAACGGCTGCTGCTGTACGCGATGTTGACAGTCGCGGTAAGGAATGCCGAGAAAATTCCTTTCAGACATACTTGCAGTCACGTACTGTACAGCTGTACTGTATTACTGTGTTCATTCCGCGCACTCTGCTGTGAGGTGCCCCCCGCCAATGTACCCCGAAACGCCAACCGAATCTCGCCGATAGGGCAGGCTAAAAGGCTGACACATTTCGAAATCCTCGGTTTATGGAGGTTGTTTCGGTCGGCACTATGGGCCACAAGAGAGTCCAGTATCGGCTTAAATGTTATTCGTGAACTGTCCAAACCCAAACCTGGCTACTCAGCTCGTGTCCATAGGGATAACATGTCCTCAACGGGCGTGTCAACCCGAAGCGCGCTCAACTTGAAGTGTCATGTAATGTAGCTGAATTGTCCAGTCGAAGCGCATGTACGAACATCAACGACGGAATTGCATTGGTTAGAGATTTTGTCATTTGTTTATCTGCTAGGCAGCGAACGATTCTAATGACAGAAAAAGGAGGTGGTGCCTGCTGATAGGGCAGAATCTGGTTGTGAGATAGGCAGTTGCGACAGTCTTATCTCGTTCGTAGGTATGTCTGTGCAAAATTTCTTAAGTGTCCGACGATTTTTATTGGCTGCCAACGTGCAAATTCTCGACACTCTGCCAACATTGTTGGCTGAGTGTCAAAATGCCGAATTGACATTCTTTGACATGTCATCCCTACGGACACGACCTCAGTTCCCTTGTTGGACCAAATGCTGCCTGCGTTCTAGCACCCAATCAGATTGTTCAGGGTGGTTTTGAATACAGTCACTTCAAAGCAATTGCCAAGCTTTTTTCCCATACATCTGTCCACCCATTAGCTTGTTGATCCTGAGTGTTCAATGCATACAGCTATGCAATGTACTTCCAGAAACATGACTTGCAAGAGCAGGCAGTGTTGGCGTGGATGACCCCTCAGTATTTCTGCGAGAGGAGAGCATCAGTCTTAGCGATTAGCGACTGGCACCTAACTGAGCTAGAGAGTGTCAACAATAAGACACTAATTCAGCGTTTTGGCGTTGAGAAGCAGCGTCTAATCTTGAGAACAGGATAAACGGTTAGGGCATGCACGTAGGGAGTGGACTAGTGGCCTTTTCCCAGTCTGTCTTATTCTGACAAAATGTTATTGTCCGTGATCCAAGTTTCGTTCACACAGCTGTCCATCTTGTGCTTAGCGGCTTTCATTCCGTTGGTAGCTGGCGGCAGCAGCAATTGTCAATACGAGTGCGCCGGCTATGGCTCCGCTTGCTACAACGCTTGCCAGGTATGGGATGAACCGTCGAAGAAGAGCCTTCTATGTTAAACTCCTTAACGCTTATATACAACCAGCAATCAGACGTGTGAAATCTCTGGTCGCTAGCTTTACCCTGCGAACTGACACAGCGCATTCGTCTTATATGCATAATTTCAACTTTTACGTCTAGGTCTTGCCGTTTCGCCGTTTCGAGCTCACTTTGCCCTTCACCTGCCTCTTGTAACCGTTATTGTCTCGTTGTCCTTGTGCCTTTTTTTTTTTTTTCCTAACCCTTTTCAGGATTGCATCGTTACGACTCCTTCTGGCTGCACAACCTACTATTCAGGTGCTCCCTCACCTCGAATTTCAGGATATGCGCACAGGCCCTTTTGAGTCGACTCAAAGTCCCCTCACTTTCGAATTTCAGGATATGCGGACAGGCCCTTTCCCTTGCAGATCATAATCACGTCATTTCAGGTTACATTGCATCTGTTCGGTCTGATATCCGCAAGCGTGAGACGGCATATCATTTCCCAATTGCTGCTGCCTCTCCATTGTTTCTCACTTAGACGTCTTTATACGGCATTTTAAGTTTGCCAGACAGGAATCCTTTTTTGTTTTTTCCATCTCCTTTTTTCTACGCCATAGTATAGTGTGGTTTACTCCTTCTACCGATACTCGCCATCGTTTTGCTCAACTGTTCCCGTGTTCCCATCCCGTCCCTTTTCTTCCCTTCCCTTCGTATCCCTCTCCATCTCATTTGCAGCTTATAGCGGCTGCTACTACGGCTGTGGGTGGCGGTGGACGTGGTGGGGTTCCCTTATAGTCACCCTCGTCATCCTTCTGTTTTCCGTTGGCATCGGTGCGTGCGTTTACCACTCCATGCGAAAACGCCGCATGCAACGGGAGCAGGAAATGGCCGTCTGGGCATCGCAGCAAGGGCAGCAATATCAGCAGTCAGGAGGCGGACCAGAATCAGTGCCAGGTTACCCTGTTACAGGAGTGCCACCTGGTGGTTATCCGTACCCTCCTCCCCCTCCAGGGGGTTACCCCCCTCCCCCTCCAGGGGGCTACCCTCCTCCCCCGCCAGGGGGTTATCCACCTCCCCCACCTGGTGGTTATCCACAGCAACCAGCAGGCGGTTCATGTGCCCCTCCATCGTCCTCTGCCCCGTCTGTATGAGCAGCCTGTGTTGATGGTAGTTCTTGCTGATGTAAGGTCACATTTTACCTGGCCCTTATGGTCATTGTAAGATGAATAGGGTGCATCTTTCCCTCTTCCTATGGTGTGCTTCTGGTCCAGTCTTCATAGGAGATTGCACCTGCATTAGGGCATGTTCCTACGGCCCCTTATCAGGGCCGCCTCTTATCAGCCTCGCTAAATTCACCTGTAATTCGGCTGGAGCGAGAAACCTCTTGTCAGATAAACTTGCCGGTTTGCAGTTGTGTGCGAACTTGAAAGTTGGATGATGTGGCAGTGCCGCGAAACCGTGGGCATCAAATTGTGACGTCCCATGAGAACCGCGATCCGTTCAATATGCGACATTGCCACATCAGCGTAACACGCATTGCACAAAATACAAACCCAACAACCCACGTAGTCTCAACCAAGCAACAATCGTTCACAGATAAAAGCACGCACAAACCATCAAAAGAAATAACAACTCCGGGAATCTAGCACGCGTAGATTAGACCAGGGAGGCACTATGACCGATGTTCCGTTCCTCCCACGCCTGCTAATAGTATGGCATGCGTTTTACTTCAGCTCCTTCTTAGACTGTGCCACGAAGGCCTGCATTCAACTGCTAGAGCACATCGACGCCGCGGAGCAGGAAGAGACATGTGTAGAGTCCCGAAGTGACCTGCGCACGCGGAACCGCCAACTACGGCGGCGGAGACTAGACGTGTGGGAGGATGAGATGGCATCGATGTCGGACGAGACGTTTACTGACCTGTTCCGCATAAACCGGGCCATATTAGACCACATATGCGAGGGAATGCACCATGTATTGCACCCAGTCATACATATGATAAGAAACGAGGAATGAAATGACTAAGTGAAAGTTGGGTACAAGAAGCAAACCCTAGAAAACTGTACCCCATATGTGCTACCCCACTATAGCCTACAGTAGCTATGTCATATAAATCTGACACACCCCCATAGGCAAAGTGGGGGAGAACAAGGGGTCACAAGACCAGTCAAGCAAAGCAAAGCAAAAACAAGCTCAGGGTGGATCACAAAGTCACCACACATTCCGAGCACAAGTTCAAGGCCACAAGGCCAGTTCACAAGCAGGAGTACACATATATATAAAAAGGCTAGACAAACAAGAGCAGGTATATATATATGTAACAGTACAAGCAAGGTCAAGAGGTGAGCAAGTGAGGCAAGGTAGGCACAAGGCCCAGCTGAGTACAGAAGCGCTGATGGTCACAAGGCGCAAGTGCCTTGGTGAAGATATCAGCAGTGTTGGCCTCAGAGGCCACGTACGCAAGACGCAGCTGACCACGCTGCTGCAGCTCACGAGCAAGAAAGTAGCGGAGAGCAATGTGCTTCGTTCTGTGCTCCAGTCGCTGCTCCCGACACAAGGCCAGCATGGCCTTGTTGTCTACGTACAGCACTGGAGGAGAACGAGGCAACTCTCCGAGGTCAGTCAGCAGGTAGGTGAGCCAGCGAAGCTCCTGTGCAGCCATGGCTCCTGCGTAGATCTCAGCCTCACAACTGGAGCCGAGAACAGAAGACGAGCGAGTAGCCCGCCACGAAACAGAGCCGGAACCAAGGCTGAAGGTGTAACCCTGTGACGACCGCTGCGTAGCCTGGTCGTCAGCCCAAGAAGCGTCTGCGTGCCCAGTAAGGACCACTGGACTCTGCCCTCCAAGCACAAGCCCCATGCCCGACGTACTGCACAAGTAGCGCAACACCCTCTTAGCTGCAGCCATGTGCTCCGGTCTGTGTCTCCCAGGAGCAACATAGCGTGCAAGAATGCTAAGAGGGTATGCAAGGTCAGGTCGTGTGCAGGTCATCAGGTACATGAGGCAGCCAACAAGCTCTGGGTACGGGCCACTCGACTCTACGGACTCATCCGAAGGCAGAGCTGAGAGCGAGTGGCGAGTAGGCAGAGGAGTGGCCTGAGGCGAGGAGTACGTGAAGCCGAAGCGCTGAAGGACCTGCTGCACCATGTGTGACTGAGTCAGGGTAATGGTGCGGCGTGCTCTGTCCCGAGTGATCTGCAAGCCAAGGTAGCTGCGCAGTTCACCCAGGTCAGTGCACGTGTGTCTCTTCTGCAGCTCGGACTTCACGTGGGCTAGTCCAGCAGTGTCAGCTGTGGCAAAGACCAAGTCGTCGACGTACACGAGGATGTAGAACGGCGGCAAAGAAGTGTCGGTGCGCAGAAACAGCGACGGGTCGGCAGTAGAGGGAGCAAACCCAAGAGCTGCAAGTTTAGTCCTCAGTGTGTCGTGCCACTCACGCGGTGCCTGGCGGAGACCGTAGACTGGCCGCCGTAGGCTCCACTGGGTGCCAGGAGGAAAAGACCCAGTGAAGCCAGGTGGGCGACGCAGCCAGATCTCCTCGTGCAGGCTGCCCTGCAAGAAAGCAGTGCTGAAGTCAAGAGAGTGTAGCTCGTAGTCACGGTGAGCAGCTACGTGCAGCAGTACCCGAAGAGTGGTCATCTTCGGGGTGGGAGAGAAGGTCTGAAAGTAGTCAACTCCCTGCCGCTGACTGAAGCAACGAGCCACGTAACGCGCCTTGAAGACAGGCGGAGAACCCGGCGGTCGCTTCACCCTGAAAATCCACATGCCACTGACGATGTTCGACCCAGGAGGGGGAACAGCGTCAACGTAGGTGCCTGTGGACTTCCAGGAAGCCATCTCTGCGTCCATAGCTGCCTGCCACTGAGAGGAGTAGGGACCCTCTATCGCCTCCGCGTAAGAGCGCGGAGTCGGGATGTCAAGTGCATCCGGGTCTCCCTCAGGGGTAAGCAGTACGGACACGAGATGAGGTGAAGCAGCGGCCAAGCACTGAAACTCCTCCTGCCTGTCCTCAAGGACGTCCGTGCCAAGGGCACACTCACCCCCGACGGACGGAGGACAGACAGACTCAGACTCAGCAACAAGACTGGCGACGTAGTCTAGGCGACAGCGAGCAGCAAAGTCGACGAGCTCAGCAACTAGAGCAGACGCAGCAGTGGACTCAAAGGAAGGGTCAGTGACAACCGTAGCAAGGAGACGCGTGACAGTAGGACTGGCAGCGCGAAGAGAGTCCGACTCCGGGTCGGCAAGAGTAGGAAGAGAAGACTCAGGAGGAGAAGGCAAAGGGGCACGCAGAGGAGCAGTGGACGGACGCAGAGACATCCGGTGCGTGCCAGGGACAGGAGGAGGACGCTGACGCGAACCGCGACCACTAGTGCGAGCAGCACGGACAGGCGACGCAGGGCGAGACGCAGGCTCACGACGCTCAGCAAGACCTCCAGTAGGACCAGTGTAGGGAGACGGAGCAGGCAGTGGGGAGGCCGGCTGTAACTGTAACTGCGACGGGACAGGCTGTGGACACTCTAAGGGAGGAGGAGGACCAGTAGAAGGCGGGAGACCAAGAACCTGCTGAAGGAGCGGAACGAAGTACGGCCGAGGCCGCGCGGCGACTCCAGACACAGGAGGGACAGCACCAGCACCCGCAGGGGCAGCACCAGCACCAGTAGCAGCTCCAGCTCCAGAACCCCCAGCAGCACCAGTAGTACCCCCAGCAGGACCGCCTCCAGGACCGACAGCAGTAGCCTCCACGCCAACACCCGCAGCAACTCCAGCTCCAGAAGTACCCGCAGGTCCAGCAGCTCCAGTACTCCCAGTACGAGCACCTCCGGGACCCGTGGCACCAGCTCCCTCAGAAGCAACAGAACCTCCAGTACCCGCAGCACCTCCAGCTCCAGCAGCTCGCCTCCAGCGCCGGGCAAACCACTCACGCAGCTCCTGGGGAGAGAGTGGCTCTCGGCGAGAGGGAGCACCCGGTGAACCGCCAGGCACAGCACCACCAGGCGTAGCACCCCCAGGCTCAGCACCTCCAGGCGTAGTACCCCCAGGCTCAGCACCCCCAGACGCAACACCCCCAGGCTCAGCACCTCCAGGCGTAGTACCCCCAGGCTCAGCACCCCCAGTCGTAGTACCCCCAGACTCAGCACCCCCAGGCTCAGCACCCCCAGGCTCAGCACCCCCAGGCGTAGCACCCACACGCTCAGCACCCCCAGAGTCAGCACCCCCAGGCTCAGCACCCTCAGCAGCACCAGAGTCACCAGCAACCTCGACAGGCTCAACAGCGTCTACCTGGGACACACCTGAAGGGGCAGGACCCTGAGGGGGGAGGGGGTCTACCGGGGGGGGACCTGGTACAAGGAAGAGCGGTGGCGGGGGGAGGGACGGAGTGCGGTAGGGGAAGAGGCGGTAGTAGGGGACCGACTCGTCGAACGTGACGTCCTGGGAGGACAGAACACGGCGAGAGGTGGGGTGGTAGAACTGCCACCCTGGGGCGTCAGGGGGGAAACCCAGGAAGACGCAAGGAGCAGCACGAGGGGACAGCTTGTCCGCAGACAAGTCGCGGACAAACGCCCGAGATCCCCAGACACGGAACGCAGACGCATCGCCAACCTTCCCCGTCCACAGCAAAGCTGGGGAGGTCTCCGGCATGGAGACCCTGGGCTGAAGGTTGATCTGATGCGCCGCGTACCGAACCGCAAACGGCCACAGAAAATGGGGGGCAGCCGCATGCATCATGGACGTACGGGCGACGTCCATGACCATGCCAATGCGGCGCTCAGCAATCCCATTTTGCTGTGGAGAGTCCGGAAGCGTGAAGGTCTGGCGGATGCCTCGTGCACGACAGTAGGCTCGCAGAAGGCCAGAGGAGAACTCTCCGCCTCTGTCAGAGTGCAGACGCAGAACAGGAAAGTCCGAGCCAAAGCTCCGCCTGAGCTGGAGACGAGCTGCGCGGATCCAGTCGATCAACACCTCAGTGACATCACCCTTGCTGCGCAAGGGGAAGACTGTGGTGTAACGCGAGTAGTCGTCAACCACCAGCAGGAAGTAGCGCTCGTGACCCTGTCCACGGACGCGGGCCGGGCCCCACACGTCCATGTGAAGCGTCTGCAGCGGGGCCTCTGTCGGAGGAAACTGGGAGGAGTGAGGGGTAGCCCG